CTGATTTCGCTTTTTTTAAATTATTAATATTTTTTTAGTTATTATAATTTTTCTTAAACTCACACTTACCATAACTGTTACATGTGCATATTAATCTTTTAACCCAAATTGTTTCGCTTCAATTTCTCATTATTAATTTAAATACTTAAATAAAACTCATTTCTGTTTTATTAATTATTTTTTGCTTTAGGTATTTTTTTCTATGTATGTACATACATGTTTATTTAAATTACTTTTGTTTTTATTTTATTTTAGTGGACTTAGCATTAGGTGAATTTTATTTTAATACATGTTAAAGGCATTTAATTTGAGGGGGTTTTTGTAACTTAAGAATATTTGTTGTTTTTGTATTTTTTTTTTATTTAATTGTTTTAATTTCTATTACTAGCACTATTAGAATTTATATTTATTTTTTTTCGGTTTTTGTTTCATTAATCGGTTACATTTTGGTTATGTACCATCTTAAATTTACATTTACCATAACGGTAAGTTTCAACTAAATATTTTGGAGTAAAGCTTTAGAATTTACAAAAAATAATATTGGTACAAGAAACTCAAATGCGTTTAAAAATTATTTGTTTCAATATTATTTTTTTATTAATTACAATGTTTGAGTTATCAGCAAAGGTAGAAAAAAATTTAATATAATAATTATTTATTATAATAAAAAGAATTTTTGGAAAATTGACGTTGCAGCGTCATATCTAACCAATATACATATATATTGCTTAGTTCGGTACTTAGCCAACTAAAGACTTTTGCGCGATATTTCAATATAACTAAACGAATTATCTTCTCCTTCTTATAATTATATTTTACTTTTTCTTTCGTTCTTAGTCGTTGACCGAATATTCGCTTGAGACGTTTTGGGGGAATGTTGCCAAAAAATGGACGACAACTAATGGACAGTATAAATTGCAATCAATACGCATTCTTAAATAGATATGGATGGCATTGTAAAATCGATTGTTAGTATAATAAAGTAAATCAATTGACACAAAATGCTATTATTGACAAATTTAGTAAATTTTAGACGGTCGTTATTTATTATTATGACGGTTGTTGATAAGTGGTAGCTTTTGCACTTGTATAATTACTAAAAAAATAAAATGGTAAATTTATAAAAAATTAAAAAAATGTTTTAAATGAAATTGAAAAATAGGAATATTATTATAATTTTATGAAAAAACAGTATTTTTTATAAAAACGTAAAATTTTTAATCATTAATAAAAATCAATTACCACATACTAGTTTTAAAAAATTGGAACAACAAAATTTGCATTGATAAATAAAATACTGAGTAGTTAAAAATTAAACCAATTTTTATCTAATTGAAAAAGTAACCAAACTTTTTTAACTCTTAGTAAACTTTCTTACTATCAGCTTTTGAAAGTAAAATATTAGGGCATAGTGTTTTAAAATTATTTCTTCAAGCTATAAAATTTGCAATTTTGTTAAATAGTCTTTGAGGCTTATGAGATTGTTAGCATCTAATGAATTTTTTTTTAATTAACTTTCGACCAGCGTATAAATTTTTTCATATAGTTAGCTATGAAACTTAAAAACCAAAAATTTATAAAATTAAATTCCAAATACATATACCAAAAGTTACAGAGAAAATACAAAATATAGATAGCTAGAAAATTTTGCTGAAATACATAAATTACAGTAAATAAAAATTTAAACCGGTATTAAAACCTTATATTCACCTGAAATGAAACAATTATAAATAATGTATTTTAAAACGTTAGGAAAGTAGTAAGAATAAAGAATGAAAAATCAAAGTTTTACATTTTGCCTCAGGAATAAAAAAATAAAATATGCAAAAATAAAAAACAGCTATAAAAAGTATTAAAAATCAAAACTGACTAATATTTTGCGCAA